ATGGTGTCCAGGCGAACACTTCGATGTTAGAGGTCAAAAATTCCAATACCTTTAATCTCTCAGTGCTGGACAACGACGAACCGAGCAAAAAGAACTTATCCGGGTTCTTTTCATCTATTCTTACCTCTACCAAGTCCTCCACCGCTTTCTGATCAGCCGTTTTGCTGACATCTACGAATAGCTCATTGCTCTCAGGTTCTTCCACCGAATAAACGTATCCTTTGGCAGCGCGGCTGCCATTCACCGTGACGAAGCATTGCTTCGATATAATCTGATCTCCATAGACTTCTTCAATTACCCCAGTATCGTTGGGGAACCGCATTACTTGGTGGTAGGATGACACCACCGATCGCATGGCATGCAGCCATGTTCTGCCCAAGATGATATTATAAGTGGAGAGAACTTTCAATACCTAGAACTCCACTTGTTTCGTCATGCTTCCTGCTCTGATTGGAAGAATTAATTTGCCGACGGGCCATTCTGGCATGGAGTTGAATCCAACTAGGGGAGATACAGCAGGCGCCAAGTCTTTGTCTTGCAGCTTCAATTGTTTAAATGTTTCGTAGTACATGATTTCACATGAACTACCCTGGTCAATCAGAATCCGCTTGACGTCAAAATCCTTGACTCGGAGAATGACGACCAGGGCATCATTGTGAGGGCAATAAATCCGTTCCAAGTCTTTATCTGAAAAAGACATGACGTTTGTGGCTTCTGTCTTACCCTTCTTGATGACAAGTTGGGCACTTAGCACCTCTCTTAAGTGTTCAGCCTTTTTGATTGATCTCTTGAGCTCGCATACACACTCAGGTTCAAAGACTCCATGTATCACATTGATAATGCCTTGAGGTGGGGCGTCGACTGGTATCCCGTTGGGGTTATTATGGTCCTGGGGGGCTGGTTGCGTCCCTCCTTCAATGTATTTATCCAAGTGACCTGCCGCCACCAACTCCTCCAGGTGCTGTCTCAATGGCGTGCAATTCTCAGTGCGGTGCCTTTTCTTATGGAAGGTGCAATCGTGATTCTTTCGTCATGTTCCTCTCTGAGCTTACCCAGCTTAGCTTAGCCATCTGAAACGAAAGGTTCATCCTCGTATTTCACATTTAGAATTCGTAGATCGGTTTCTTGAAGACCGTGGTTATAGCAGTGCGGACTCTCACCATCTTTTATCTTGGTCCCTCTCCGTTGTCTGCGCCTGCCTCGTCCGTTTCTGGCTTGGACGATGCTAAACCGCGTTGACCTTTTCGAGGCCATTTCTCGTGGGCACTGCGGTGGTGCCCTGGATTTTGTTTTGGATGGACAGACTATCCTCTTCACCCTGAATTGCTGAGCACTCATCTTTCCCATCGAGGCTTCATGGTGAGTGGGTTGGTGGTCATGGTGATCCGAGTCCCTAGTGCTATTCCCGAACTAGAACGGCCTCTTTTGTATTGTGCAATGGCTGAGATTGGTGGGCAGTAGTCCCCAATCTGGTTTGAAGTGTCTCCCAGTAGCGGACTATTGGTAGGACCTTAGCGTCTCTTTTTCGCCCATGTCGATGGAGAGTAGCTGGTCAATCTCCACCGGGGTTTTGGTGTTTTTTCTGAACCTTGTGACAAACGCCTCCGCCAATTGCGCCCAGGAGGCTATGCTGCCTTCTGGAAGTTTTTCGAACCAAGTCAAGCCTAGGTCTCCAAGGCTTGATAGGAAGAGGATGCACATCAAAGCCTCGTTTTGCAGATATACCACCATAACCTGGCGGAAGTGGCTTAGGTGTATGTAAGGGTCCGTCTTCCCCTCGTACGTGGTGAATTTGGGTTGAAGGAAACCTGAAGGAAGGGGCGCGTTTTCAATTGCCGGAACGAACAGCGATGTCTGCAGCCTTGCTAATGCTTTGTCCGTTGGTTCGTAGGCAGGGCGTGGCAACGGCATTCCGACCTCGACGCTTCCATGCGTCTGAAGAGCCAACCGCTGAAGGGCAGATACCCTGCGAGGGTTGCATGCCCTAGTATCCTCCTTCCATCGTGTCTTTTCTTCCAGCATGATCCGCAAATCGGATGATCTTGGCAACTCCGTCTGCCTGGATGATGTCTGGTGCAAGCGCGAGGGTCGATAGGTACATCCCTCAGTGTAAGACCTCAATGATCTCGTTTTCTCAAACCTGGAGTAACGAGTTCTGGAGGTTCTAGACTGAGTATCGCCTGTCCTGAGGCTTCTACTCTCTGTTTGTGATGGTGTGGAATGCCTTCCATGGTCTTCTGAGCGGCGATGGGGCGTCTTGTTTTTGCACCCCTCTCCTGTCGCCACTCCTTTTCCCTTCATCTGGCGCTTCAAGGCCTCTATATCCGCCGCCATCTTTCTTATTAATTCGTCTTGCTCCTTCACGTGATCCTCTAGAACTTGAGGATCAATCCTCCGCCTTTGCCTGTCAGGACTTTGTGAATGAGAGTGACGGGGGCTGTGAGTCCGCCTCCCCCTAGTATCTCTCCTAGAGTTATGTCGTTGGGGCTCCAAGTCTGCCATGGGAGGGATAGAAGGTAATCCTTCACGCCTTGCACCCCCATCTGGTGTTTGCCCGTCGATGGCGGATTGTGGTAATTCTTCATTGTGCGCCATTATTCCTAAAGAGGTAAAGCTTGATCAAGAGGTTTTGTCCTGTCTGTAGTTCCCACAGACGGCGCCAATTGTACGGGAAACAAATAAACCTTCTCGTATAATCCTATTGATCAAGTCCGCGCTCCTCCGTACGATGTCACTTTACCCCCTGAAAACACAAGCGTGAGCTAGCCGGCGGGTGTATGCCGGAAACCCCTCCGATGCCTAAGTCAGAAAAACAGACAAGTAGACAAGAAGCTCTGTGAATTCGAGAATCAAAGTTGTGTTACCTCTCCATAGGTGATGTTTGTGAGCTTTTATAGGTTTCGTGTGGCATAATCCTAGTAGGACTTTTACTCCTCCATGCAGAGTCCTCCTAGGATTCATACTCCTGAAAGATAATGCTTATCCTTCAAACACCCCCTCACTGCTTAAACCAAGTGAGATGGTTTTTACCATGGCCGAACTTCAATATGACCGAAGTAATCATGATCACGCCGAGCCACGAGTAAACCGAACTATCGTTAGTTCGGTTCTACCTTCAGTGTTCTTACCCCAGTTCCTCCATTGTCAACAGTGTTAAGTCTAAACCGATCTAACTTCTAGCAAGGCTTTTAGACCGAACTAACCATACTGTGCCTTAACCGATATAAGTTCAACACATCCTTAAACCGGTCTAACTACAAAGCGTCCTTCAACCGGACTAACATCAAGAGTAACTCGGACCGGTCTACCTTCTGGGCTTGAGATCGGGCTAACTTTAAGCCTCTTCAAGACCGGTGTAACTTTATGGCCTCTTTACTCAGCCCTTCGTACTGAGGCCCATAAAGGCCCAGCTCGGCCCAATTTTGGATATAAATTACCCTCTCATCAAGGTATAGCATAACTCACCTTAATTATAACCCTTAGCCTTACTTTACTATCAGAACTTCCCTACTATAAGTTTCTTCCTCTCGATTTTTCACTCTTCCTTTCGTTTATTTTCTGTCGTTTGTTTTTTTTTTTTTATTTCTTCTCTTATTTACAACATATTTGCCCCCATTTATACAACAACCCGAGCCTTGATGTGAGTGCCACGTATCTTCTCTATACGGGGCCATCATTAAGCTAGTAGATTTGAGCCTTAATTGTAGATCAAATTCACAGATTTGGATAAGTTTTAATCTCCTCAATATATATCTATATATACTTGGGCCTTTGTTTTGCTTGGGCCAATATTTGCAAGGGTTTTGCTGGGCCAACACTAGCTTAGACTTTTATTATTTATTTTTGTTTTTCTTTTTTTTTGGGCCGAAGTTCACAACCTTGCTTGGCAACTAGTTTATAACATTTTTTTTTTATTTTCTTTTCTTTTTTTTATTCATTTATTTATTTGTTTTGGTGTTAAGTTATTATTTATTTACTATCTTTAGTTTGACCCAATTAATATTACAATTCCACAAGTGTGTTAATTGCTCCCAAATACTAATTCCCAAATAATTGTTTTTTACTTAATTCTATATTTGATAACCTAATGTCAATTTAGATTTATATTTTTATTTATTTAATAGTCTATCATCACATGCAACCATAATTATATATAACTCTAAATATTTATGTGGTACCTAATTAAACGTTCGGGGTGTCACACCGACATCCTCTAGGACCTCTCTGTCCTCGTCTTCTATCTTTATTGTTTCTACTTCTCGTACAGTTCAAATGGATATCATTACTGCCATGGAATAATTTTTTGCTTGCACCTGATCTCCCCTGACCTCCTTAATCCCCTGTTCTGTTGAAAACCGTAACAGCTGGTGCAGCGTTGAAGGAACAACCCTCATTGCATGCAACTACGGTCTTCCCAGAATAACATTATAAGGGGAGGAGGTGTCAATCACTGAAACTCTGTGTTTACCTTTTTGGTGCTTACCTGCACCTCCAAATGCATGGCTCCCAGTGGCCATGTTGGCATCCCGTTAAATCCCATCATCGGACTACTAGACTGTTCCAAGCCATCCTGGTGAAGGCCCAGCTCCTTGTAACATCTAGCATACATGATGTCACAAGAATTTCCTTGATCGACTAGTATGCGTCTCTCCTGGCAGTTCCCAATCCTCAGAGTCACCACCAGAGCATCATTGTGCGGATGCTATACCATATCTAAATCGGTTTCAGTAAAAGAGACCGTCGGTTCGAGATACTCATGCACTCTGGGCTTCTTCTGTTGAACCTGGTACATATGCTGTAGGTGTTTCACTCTTTGTGTTTCCCCTCTAACTTCATTCTCATTCACTCTCGAGTGAATCACATTGATCACCCGGGGTCCATCTGCTTGTTGTGGTGGCGGTGGTGGAGGTGTTACCGGTGTTGGGGGAAAGCTTGCATGTTCTTCCCTTATCTTGGCCTCGTCCACCAGGTCTCTCAGATGACCTTGCCTGACCAAGTCCTCAAAGTAGGTTCTCAGGGCCCTGCATCCCTGTGTATAATGCCCATTCGCGTTGTGGTAAGCGTAGTGCTTCCCAATGCTTCTTCCCATAAACTCGCCGTGAACTTTCTGGTGCTCTGTAATATGGTTGGTTTCTAATCCTCTCCAGGGCCTTATGGACCGGGATCTTGAATACGGTAGTAACTGCTTGTGCAGCCCTTAGTTCGACCTTCTGTCTGTTAACTATGGTATTACCTCGGGCTCGTTTCGGTGAGTCATTTCCTTTCTCCCGCTTAAACACTTTTATTCCTGGTGTGTCCTCCTCTGCCCTGACATATTTTTTTATTCGTGCCATGAGCTCTTCCATACTCTTTGGTAGAGTTTTCGCTAGTGACTTTCGAAGTGGGCATTCATCCTCCAGGCCGTTTTTAAATGAAACAACTACCATCTCCTGGTTACATGCGGGTATCCGGCTGAACACCTCGTGATACCGTTTGGCATAAGCCCTCAAGCTCTCATCCTCGTCAATCTTTAAAGCCAGCAGAGAGTCTACCCTCAATGGCTGTAGCTTGTTTGTAACAAACCTAGCCATGAACATTTCGGCCAGGCCTTTCCAACTTTTCACAGTTCCTTTCGCCAATTTGTAAAACCAATCTGACGGGATTTTCCTAAAGGATGAGGGTAATACCTTGCACAACAAAGGTTTGTTCTCGGTATACAAAGCCATTGAATTTAGGTATAAGACGACGTGAAAGTTCGGATTGGACTTACCGTCATATATCTGGAGCCTCGACGCATGGAACCTTTTTGGGGCCTCAAACCTACCCAGCTCCACTGAGAACGGCATTCTCGGCTTGACCGGGTGTAACAACGCTGATCTGTAATTAGCCACTAATCTGTATTTAATGATGTTAATGAGTGAATAAAATAAATTGTGGGTTTATTATGTGATTTGCATGATATTTGGCTTACTATCTGTTACTTGTAGAAATATCTGTTTGGAATTTCGCTTTAATATGTAAATTGAAAGCCTTATCGGCATTCGAAACCGAAATTGACCACATCAATATGTTATTTGAAATTTTTAGAACCATACGGCAAATTTTATTAAAAATTGATTCAGTCTGATTCATTAAGTTATGTTTGGTTAGCCTAATATTCTAATTAATGTGTTTTAGCACCATAAACATATATATGAGATATAAGCTCATTTGAGCTCATTTCTTTCATTTCCCTTAGTGCAAAAATTTGAGATTTCCTCCTAGAGTGAGAGAGACTCCATTTTAGAGAGAAGAAGTGTTGATTTAAAGTTGAAGTTGGGGATTTTGCTAGAGTAGCTCAAGTTTGGCAAGGATCTTGTGTGTTTGAAGACTATAGGTATGAATTCAACCCCTACATTATGAATCTAAGTTATCAACATGAAGATTATGTGTTTAAGGGTGTGTTTTGAGCTTAGAATGAAGATTTGAGTGGCAATTCATGCATGCATGTACATTTTCTTACAAATTGAGCATGATTTCCAAGAATTCTCTCATGCATGTTTGAAATTCATCGTCATTTGGGGAAATCATCAAGTTTCTAGTTGTTTTGTGGTGTTTGATCATGTTTTGGGAAGTTTGATACAAGAAAAATTCATGCATGTTGTGTTCATGAACATTCATCATGTTTTAAGTTGAAATTGTGAGTTTTTAACAAACTCTTGGGCCATGATTTTATGAAATAATTCTTAACTCATCATGTTTTACAAGTTTACTATGTTATCTCAAGTTTTGGGGCCCAAGAGATGTGTTTTGAAGGTTGGAATTCGAGTTTTGAGCTTGAAGGTGCAATCTGGAAATTTCAGAATTTGCATCTACGCTCGAGCGTGGGAGTTCACGCTCGAGCGACCACTCTGAGTGCGTACACTCCGCTCGAGCGACCAAAAGTCCACTCGAGCGTGAATTGCAAGCTCCCAGAAGTTTCATGTCTTTTACAGATCGCTCGAGCGAAGGAATGTACGCTCGAGCGACCCTTCATATTTTGCATGTCCGCTCGAGTGAGAAAAGCTACGCTCGAGTGTGAACCTCATTTTCAGAAATTTTGACTAAGTGTTTCAAGGCATGTTTTGGTATCCTCATTGTATCTTAGGCATTCCTAAGCCTTAATTAAGCCATATTGAGGAGGTTATGGATTAGAAACACACTAAGGAATGAATGTACTAAGTTCCGAGACTACAAGTGTGTGTGTGTGTTTTAGGCAATGCGATAAGAAAGAATAAGAACCATTGTAATGAGAGCTAAGCCTTAATGGCCACTTGAATGTGTAATGATTAGATGTGCTTGTGTTATGTATTTTGTGATTGTAGGTCAAGACTCGAGGATTGATTGACTGCTTACTGGAACCACTGTGAGTAATGTTATCGTAAAGATACGTTTATATGAATTATGTTCCAAATGAAATGTGATAAGCTATGCTTTCTGAAATGATATCTATTTTCGTGAACGAATATTCCTAGTTTGAAATCTATTATGGCATCTATAGATAGTCCCAAGTCATGGGGAACGGCACGAAAATGCGGGTCCATGACATACAAGTAATTATGAGATCTCGTTAGCCACTTCATTGTGGTGATATGTGTTTAATCGGTATCCGGAACCGATTACTCTAGTCGAAAAACGTTCTGTGATGTGTTCTATGGGATGTACCATCATTATATTCTGATATGAAGATGATTATGCTATGATCTATTTTACGCTTATGATATGTTCGGAATTCGTTCACTAACCTCTTTACCTTAATGTTATTCATTGGGTTTTAGCTCATTGTGTGTCTATATATGTATAGGTGAGCATTCTGGAGCCCGAGCCTGAAGGCTTTTGTTTGGATCTGTGTTCTGTTGTCAGCCAACCATTGTGTCTCACGTGGAGGTTCCCGAAGGTTCCTGTGTTTAAGTTCTGTTGTTTCTGTATATATATAAGACCTGATTTAATGTCGTTGGCTGTACTTAAGATACTTTAATGTGTGTGGGTATAATGTATGAATGAGTTTTGATTATGTATATAAAGTTTTTAAATATTCCGTTTCATATAAGTCAACACAGCTCATTGAACAACTATACTTATGTATTTGCTTCCGCTAGTCCCTTAATCTTGTTAATCTGTTCAGAGGCCTTCGGTAGTCTAAGGATTACTGGCCAGTTACGATGCTAAACCTATAGGGGCGGGTTTGGGTCGTGACACCAGGGATATGACATCGGCAGTCTGTCGCTTCCTCTAGAGATAGTCCCTCAAATCCTCCTTAGTCTAACCAGGAGCTCGGCTGTCAACAAATTTTAGTCGTTTTGGTGCGCTGTTCCTGGTGTCGTTATGTGTCATCTTGGACTTCTCTCTATTCACCATATCAAAGCAATGCTCCTTCCCTTGAACGTATCGATGTTCTTTGACATAAGGTCCCTTAGTGCGAGGCATTCTCTGAGACTCTTCTCTTACCGATTCTGCTTGCCCGGTATCCCATGATGGCCGATGCGAGCGTTCCTTCATCCTGTCATGTTGAGGAACTGCTGGGATTACTTTCTGCCCCCATTTCTGGGCATTGTCCTTGGCCACTGGAATCGGCATGTCCCTCAATAGAAACGGTGGCTGCATGACATTATTCTGCATCATGAAGTTGACAACCGATTGTAGATTTGCCAACTTGTTTGTCGTTCCCTTCATCTCGCCATCCTTCCTTAGGCATCTATCTTTCCATACTTGGAGGTCACTTTCGTTGTAATACTCATCTTGGCCTGCTTTCTTTGGTGCGTCTCCCTCTTAGCTGACGTCCTTCTCCTCGGGATCCTAATCCCGTGCTTCTTCATTATGGTTTTCTTCTTCCATGTTTGGATCGGCATGTTTTCCACTCCCACTAGGAATGTCATTCCTAATCTTTTCTTTCTGCCCGTCGTTGGCCATCTATTCTCCTTATGTTCCCACAGACGATGCCAAATTGTGGGTGTTGATTTTCAACCACACAACCAAACGAGGAGCTTAGCTGGAAAGCACCGGCATAATAGATTAAGTCTGAACAACCTGTCACAAAGAGATAAGAATCCAGCGATAATTCATCCACCTGGGGGCACTCCGATAATCAAGTCAGTAATCAATATCTCTCAAAGATAGCAAATTGTGCTTAAACTCACCAGAAAGAACTTACCTTAGATCCATGAGGGTGCCTTGCTTATATAGTTAGCACTAACCTGATCCTTGTAGAAGCTTTACTTCAGTAGACTTAGGCTCAATGCTCGTCATGGACTCTCAGCTAGATATGGATAAACTCTCTAAGAGCTTTATCTTTATCCAGACTGAGATCTTCTCCTATTCTAGGACTCTTATCCCTTATCTGCTCATCTCAAATTCCGGTATCTCCTTAGATAACCTCGGCCTAGTCAAGATCACCTCGGCGCATGACCAGACTACGTGGCACATCGGCTGACACTTCGACGTCACCTTAACCACGTGCTGTTATTCACTAAATATGTCCCTACACTTTACATTACATTAACAAAAATTTCTAAAACTGCCACTGAATTAGAACACAAAATGTGATGCATAAGTGGCACTTTATTATTTGTCTTTACCAAAAGGGAGCAGAGGAGACCAAAGATATATAAAGATAAAAAATGAAGTATAAAACTACTATAAATGTTCCTTACAAACATATATTAATGAAAAGGACTAGAAAACATTGAATGCTATTTCTTGTTTCCTGAATCACCTTTTATGTTTAAAAAACACAAGTGTCAATTATAGTTAATTCTGTTTTGTCACCTTCTAATGACTTTTTCTCAATTAACAAACAATATCAAAATTCATACATAACACCAAATTGACAATGTGAAGTGGAAAACAAATCACAAGTTGTAGTCATGCCCATTTGATGTAATCTTTTAGATATTGCTATGAGATATCCATTCTTTGTATTATCATAGGGACATATTTATTTATTTATCAAATGTGGATAAGGAATATATTCGAATAGAGGCAAGTTTCATTGGAATCCAAGGAAGCTTGTTTCACAGTGGTCCACAAGAAGCATCAATAGTGTCATTGTTAGCAACCAAATTAGTATTTACCAGTAATGTTAGGAATATAGAATGAGTTACAAAGTGATTCACAGAAAATACAATGAAAAGATAGGAATTAAATCCAGTTATAGAGATCCACATTCAGGAGAAATCTCGACTAACCATTACCCATTTTGTGACTAATTTTATATTTTAATAATATGTTCTTAACATTCCTAAATAACTTTTGTTGGGGTGGCATACATAATGTTTTTTTTTTTTTTTTAGGGTTCTAGTCTCCAGTCCATTTTGTGGATTGGATAGTATGTTGGGCCCCGTGGGGTTCACCATGGGTCCTGTTTCGATAATTCAAATCGTTGAATGTATAGAGCTCGTCTAGTGTTTTATTTTTGTAAAAAATTACGTTGATCGGATATCGATAGCTACTTGATCGGATTAGATTTTTGTCAACAATTTATTTTGAAAATTATATTTACTGTTGACAGGAATTTGATCCAATCAAGTAGTTATTGAAATCCAATCAATGTGATTTTTTATAGGGATACAGTACTTGACAAGCTCTACACATTAAACGGTTTAAATTATCAAAACAAGACTTATGGTGGGCTTCCACGAGCCCAATAACACGCTATCGGACTGGAGAGGAGCTTGGCCTTTTTTTAAAAATCACATCGATAGATCTATAA